AAAATTATAATAATATCTTCAATATTTAATTAACAAAAGAGTTCTGAGTGTTTAACACTTAACTTAATAAAAATTACAACATATACTCATGAATTTATTACAATCGTAGATATCTTCCAAAGAGCGTCTCAACAAAGCTTCGCAAATTTATGTGCGGTCGCAATTTACGCAGAAGTATTTGTAGCGTTAAATTAGGATGGTAAATTAGGTAAAGTAGGAGACTTCTTATCCAGGTATCCTCATTTAACACTGCAGTAGGAGATTATTTAATAAATCAGTGCCATTAAGGCACATTACAAATGCTAAAAGTACAAAATGTGCTCGCCTGTAGGTATGTGCTAAAACTTATTACTGTAATACCCCTCCTACGTATGCATTCAGTATTGCCCTGTTTCGGTACAAATGGGATTTCATCAGGCGAAGGTAATAAGAAGGGAGAGCCACGTCAGAAATCTTGAAAATTATTGGCGTCAAAATGGAAAAACGCGACAGAATATTCAGTACAGAAATTTCTTGCAAGGAGAAAATAAATAATCCAAAATAAAACTATGATGTATTGCAATTTCATATTTTTCATTTAAAAATTAGAAAAATAGATTAATCACAAAATATATACATATAATCGATCACTGAATGTATCATTATAGAATAATTTAAAGTATTATTAATTACGTAGATCATTTAGAAAATATGAACAAGCAATTTGAAGATATTTTTTTACACAAATCACTCTATTGTAATAGAATAGAGATACACACACCCAATACATCTATCGCATTTAATGTCTATACGCCTGTCGAGATAAGTACGGCAAACAAGTCGTAAAACGTGTGCGTGTGGAAGTAACCTTGAGTCACTTGTAGTCATTACTTCAATTCTCGCGATCTTTGTGCTCGCTTTAAAAATGATTTCGAACGATTTCGAACGAGTAGCGAACGCGCGTTACAATGAGCGCACGACAAGTGAACTAATAAATCACTGACATCCTTGGAAGGTTTCTGATTGTCGGCGGCTCGTCGAGAAGCCGTGGCATGGGAAAGTGCACAAGATCCACTTACGATCTCGTATGCCGTCGGAACTCGTGTGAAAAATGGCAGCAGCGACGAGCGACGCGACGAAGAAGAAAAAGCAGATGAGAGCGTTACAAGAGGAAGCCGCGCGAGAAAACAAGATCGCGTTGAAGGAGGATTTCGCCTCGAAGCTACGAGATTTTGCCTAGACGACAGTATGCACGAGGGATTTATAAACTTTCCAGGACCGTGAAAATTTACTCCGTTACCTGTCCGCGAACTTCTTCCTCGCGGCTCGAGCCGCTTGCGGGCAAAATGAATCGACTGGGCTGAGTGGTTCCATAAATCCCGGAGTGCAGCGGAATAACGCTACCGGGACGTTGACAAATGTAAATAAGATTGAACTCACGCCGTGCCGGATTTAAAGCGTGAATCTAGACGAGTGAAAAAAAAATGGAAGCTTCGAGTGTTGGATGGACGAATATATCTTTTCTCCTATAGGAATAAGTGCAACAACATTATGCCTAGAAATGTGCAAAAGATTTTTTAACGCCGAATTAAATCGAATCGAATCATTGAAAATTTTAATTAACGGCATAATTATTTTTATATACCATAGAATAATATATGTGACAAAATCGTTTCTATGTAAAAAAATTAATGATTATTGTACAAAGTAATTTTAAATATACATGTATTTAAATGTTTAATCGAATCGAATCTGCCTTGATTCGATTCAATTCGTATTTGAATAGTTTGCATATCTTTTGGTTGTGTCCAATAGTTTGCATCATTGACGGGATATTGAATTGTGTAAATAAAATTAGGAAATATTAAGAGAATCAAGATTGGATTTTATGTATACGTAAAAGCCGTTTACACAAAATTCAATAGAAAAGTTGGATAGACAGAAAGAAATTTGGATTCCAATATACGTTGAAACTCTCTCTACACGAAACTGTGGTCGGCGATCGAATAAAAATGTTCAAATAACTCCGAAACTTCAAGACGCTATCACTGAATACTATCTGATTGTGAGTAGTGAAAAGAAAAGGAAATTTTATTATTCTTCTGAGAGTGTTAGTCTGTAAAATTGGCATGCTTTCACATAAACTATTTAATCGATGATTGTAAATATAGTCAACCAGAGAAGAAGTTGTCAGTTCTATTTCCAGGGAGCGTATCAACATTGGTATAAATCTCTTTGCGTGATTCCCGTTCTTCAACAAAGCTCAAATTTGTTGGCTCGCGCAATCGATAATGTTCAAAAGACCCCCAAGGACTTGATAATATAGGTACCGGATAAAGCGAACACTGTGACACAGTATTCGGCCGGTCTTGCCATTGTTGGCCTCATTAGCGATGCACATGGTGTCGCGTTTGAATATCATTTAAATATCTTGTAACAACCTTAAACGCGCCTTCGTCATTATAAAATCGATGCTTTCAATCTATCCATTTTATCGAATATTACAACGGCAGGACACAATTTCGTTAAGATTTCGATTTCGAAATCGGAATAAGAACGAAAATCGCTGCCGCGGCAATATGAAATTGAATAGATTCGTCAGAGATAAGGAGCCAATTTTCATCGCTCAAGGATGGACGACTGTCTCGAAAGCAAAAATAAAATGACAGCAAAACAGTGGAGACAGACGGTCGAGTGCGAGAAAGGAGAGGCTTGTAAAAAAAGAAGAGGAGATAAAGAGAGGCACCTCTCTCTCTCTCTCTCTCTCTCTCTCTCTCTTTCTCTCCGTCAGTCTGACGATTCCGCGGGAAGGCTGTCGACGACTTTCCTTCCTTCAGGAACTTTTAATTTCCGGTACTTATCGGGGGGACGGAGGGTGATTCGGAAAAGTAACAAGCGTGTGGTGGACGGGAACGCGGGGGAACGGCCGACTTATCATTTACAATGATAGTCGCCGAGCCGCGCGCACAGGGATCGCAATTGAGTTTCGTTCGGCGATACTGAAAAGCTCAGCGCCGCCGGCTGCGAGCTCTCGCTGGCTCCAGCTATTGATCGAAGGCCGACCGACCTGGGTCAGAGTATAGCGGTGTGGACTGCATCGGTGCAAGCCGGTCTACGTGTGCAGCGCAAGAGTGTGGGTACGTGCACCCTTGCCGACGCGCTGCACACACCGGCATGGAGCCGCGCCGCTGCACACACCGACAACGCCAGGGTCGTGACCAGGAATTTCACCTCCTCAGGCGAAATGCTGAAACAGCATTCCCCCTCCTTACCCTCGCGATACTTTAAGCCTTAGGCGGTCTGATAAAATTTTTCGAAATCAATGCAACCGACACGTATTTCGTGGAGTAATAGGTGTAAGAAAATAATCGAAAAATAGATAAATAATAGAATAATCACAAAATGTGTGGAAAATGGAAAGAACGGTTTTGCTGGAAATATCTAAAAATTTAACTAGATACAGATCTGAAAATAATTTTTAGATTGGATTATCAAAATAATTCTGTAAAACCTTCAAACATGATGAATAATGTTGCGAAAAATGTTGACTTAACAATCATTTAGAGCGTCTGACAAAATTATTTTGGCAGTTCAATAAATTATATTCTCAAATCCATCTATATAATTAAATTTGTAGACATTTCAGCAAAATTATTCTTTCTGTAGCAATTATAAAATTATTTTCCTCAAATATTCGATGCTATTTTTATGAAAATAGTGAAATAATGGCAACAAAATATTTTAGAAATACTTCATTGTTATTTCGTAAACATACACTATAAAATACATTATAAAATCGCATTATAAAATCACTGGGAAACTGAAAAAACTTCTCTATTTTTAGTTACTTATGACTAATAAAAATTATTAATGCTTTGATGTTTACACGGCTCTAGTTACAGACTCTCTTTCTATTATGTAAAGAATTATTAAAATTAAAATACATCATGAAGTTAAGTACGCTTCTGAAAGTTGCCCCTAAAATTTTCACCAGAACCATTCGAGCAGTTTCACCCTTAATGTCGTCCCTGTACGTTGCACACAAGCGACGGCTGCATTGACTGTATCTATTCTCCTTAACGTGCCGCGAACCAACATGAACGAGCGCGCATTATTTACCTTCCCATTCTCGAAGTCTTGTATAAATATATACATCCGCGTTCTGGTCCCGGTGAGGTCGCGATAAAATTTACGCCGGAAAAAAGAGACGACGCGCGGAATGGTCCATCGGAATTCCGGTAATACCAGATCGGTCCGCTAGCGCCGGAATTCGCGGCCGGGCACGCGACCGCCGTGCCGCAAAGAGGGATGCGCTCGGAGAGAGCCAGAATGCAAATGCATCCATACGTAAGATACATTGGTACTTGATACTTTAGCCCCGTTTCATTCCAAAGTACAATTCGTCATTAAATTCCGGGCATATTATATGTTGGAGTTACTATTTGATAATAATCTAGATTAGAGTGGAAAGCGGAACGGTAAGTCACGATAACATCAAAATTATGTTAAAATGAATCGTTATTAATAACTTTTAATAATCATTCTGGAGTCATTTTATTATTATACTTGTGTTTCGTTGGATCTCTGATTTATTGCTAATGACTGAGAACAAACGTTTAAATATCAAACGGAAAAATATATTCTCAGCACGAATTCTTATTACTAAAGTATTATAAAATATATTTTCTTAAAATAATGTAGCATAATACATTTAAATAAACAGATGTATTATCAACGCTACTTTCTCGAAATATATCTTCATTATTAAAATATAATATTAATTTATATTTACGTTTCTATTCATATATAATAAACTTTTAGCTATCGGTATTTAATTTACATCGATTTATACATTATGTAAAATTACAATTAAAAAACCTAATAATATATAACACGAATATCGTGCGATTAAAAGATATGGCATCGACAGGTCTTTGAATATTTAGGTTACACGTGTGTTTTCTATTGACCCACACGAATTTAATATTTGCTTCTAACGAATAAGGCGACGGGCAACTTACCTCGTTGGTGTTCCATCGATGCCTCTGAGTTGGAAAGTGTTCAGCTCGCGGCAAGGTTTCCAGATTTTCGGGGAGCTTTATCGGGTCGCCATCTGCGTGATAAATTATCCCAATTAATAGCTGTTCTCGCTAGAAAATGCGGAATCGTAGAAAACATCAATTTCAGAAGCGATTTGTTCTGTAACCCGTTACATTATTTAACGGAAAACCTGAATTTATGTCGTCGACGTGCGTACTGATCGATCGTGACAGTTTTACAGCGGATCGACAAGCGAATCGTTATTGTGTCATGAGCATTAGCGACTGCCTTGCATTCATACTCGCGACGTACAGGCAGCTTTAACGTTACGTGGCATGTGTCATTAACTCTGTTTATACACAACCGATCGAAAAACTCCATCGATCTAAGCCATGTATATTCTGCACGCTCGCCATAAAATAGCACTTGTAATAAATTGCACTTTCTACGAACGTGCCATGAACTATACCTACTCCTGTTAAAATGCAAAATAAAAATCGACGATCTGAAGATTCTTTTACCGAGAACCTTAGCACGTTTTTGCACGATTACTTTTTTAAGTAACACCGAGAAATACAAGAAAACTTTTAAAAAGCTAAAATGGTACCGTAATATCATTTATATTATTTTTTACGCACAAAAATGATGTATTAATAATATTAGCCGATAGCAGTCTAATTGAAAATAAACATATTAATTCAATGACAGTACTAATGGAATACGTCATGCTCTTGTGTTTTAATAAAATATTATTTGTTTCATTAATAATGACATTAAATTAACAAAACTGTTTTGAATTAGACTGCTGTTGTCTATAATGTCAATACAACATGTTTTCTCGTGCATACATGTTCAGTTTAATGTAAGTAATTAACAATTCCAAGTATATTAAAAAGAACTTTGCATGAATATTTAAGACAGAATTCTTTATTAATTGTAATATGTATAGATCGTAATATTTAGTAAAGGTTTAGTAAAGCATAGAATATATAATATTTAGTACAGATTTTAATTTTTTTTAAAGAAGAGCATAAAAAATTTGTTGCATATTAAATCAGAAAAATAATTTCAGCATTCTATAAACGTCGTGAGATTCAAACATGTACTCTATTTTAAAATTATTAGAATCCGAGACTAGTATTTTTGTACATCTAGACATCAAGCAAGCAGCTATTTGCTTGGCAAAATGCTTCCGTTTCGCAGTGTTTGCATTTCCTCTCGATATTATTGATATTACGCATGGGACATCTGTGCTCTCTCGTATGATATATCGGCAATATCATGCGTCGCGTATTCTTGAAGCACCGTTCTTTATGATATAAATGCGGAAATATGGTATGAATCCCCATGCCTTTTGTAACCAAACACTTTCTATACTTTATGTAATACATTATGTAAAATTGAATCGATACGACCAAAGTAGCCATAAAGTTGCCGCGGAGATAACGAAATTCATCCGTTTGATACATATAACTTTGTTACAGTCTTTTTGGAAGAAGAAACTTTCTTTCACGAATACACACTCACACTTAAACATGAAAAAGATATCGCGTTCTGGCAAGAAATAATAGTAGAAACGAGGGCAAATGTGGCTTACCATAAACTGAAACGTCAGAAATTGTGTTACATACGTATAAATCTAAATCACGATTGCAATCAGGAAATTTTTATGGTCGCGCAATTTATGATAACCTTGTTACGCTTTAATTAACAGAATAAGTTCACTGGTCAAGTGCATTTTTTTCCACGAATGTTCGCTCAAAGTACTCCGCACTAATTGTATGGAAAATTGGGTCCAGGTGAAATGAGTTAATTTTCACATATAATGTAGCTTATAATGTGATGAACAAAAAATATCGCGCGTACGCACAAGGCTCAATTATGTATCAAAGATGTAAAATTTGTGCTCATAGAACATCTTTGATAAACTATCCCAACAAACAGGCAGGTGTTATTTGTCATCATTTTGTTAAATTTGATATTTAAGACATCAATTTGACTTTGAAACCATGAAATAACGTTAGTTTGTTTGCTGAAATAGCTGAAAAATTATTTGTTATTGAGCTTTCTATGATATCTTTTGTCCATCATAATATAATAAGTTATTATTATGTTTGAAAATTAACTAATTTATTTCATCAAGTCTCAATTTTTCATATAATTAATGTGGGATCCTTTATTTACACGGTTAAAAATCGCATAAACGTATTATATCGCGTACTGCGTATTTGCAAATTTATTCGCTATAGTTTATTTCTTTGTAATCTTTTTCACAAATTTGATTTGTGCAAATGTAGCAAATTCAAAATAAGTTTAATCTTTAGTGAAATATTTGCCGGAAATTGCCAGAGTTAGCCAGGAATATTACCCACGGAAATCAAATATTTATTTAATGGTACTTCGCCTATGGTTTGTATAATATTTACTGATTCCTAAAACTCGCCAAAACCATTAACTAAACTTTGACAATCATAAGTATGACAGTTAAGTATCTAAGTACCATGATCTAAATGTCATAATAACGAAGTAATAGTTTACTTGTGTGGAACTTTATAATGTCGCGATGTTATCTAATTATAATAAAAATGATCACATATATTGTCCAAAACAAGTATTTCATATATTAATTTCATATGCTTTTAATAATTATGTCATAAAAAATAAATAATATACTGAAATAATAGAAGCTTAATGACTTTCAACTTATAATAAATTATAATTAGAGATAAATAAAAAAAATTGAAGTTCTCTCTATAAATCTCAAAGTTTAAAATTTCACAATGCAAATTTTTGAATCACAATTTGCAGGAATAAAAGGTTTTTCAAAGCGCACACCGTAGACAAAACTTATTTAATAATTCTCTCTAGCGAAGAAAGAAACGAAAAACATCAAGAGATCTTCTCTTCAGTTTCCGAGAAAATCTCTCTTCAGTTCTTGAGAAAGTCAGTTCTTGTTTCTCTCTTGTTGTTTAGACCTGATTTACACAGTGCTTATTTTTACTAGCAACTAATGTTTTTGTTTTTAAAGCAAATTAGAAAACTAGCAACTAAAAAAAAACGTGATTTTAAAAATTATATCTTTTAGTTGCTAGTTTTCTAAAGACAAATATATAATTTATAGAATTATATTTTTTAAACCAGGTTTTGTGAAAAAATCCACAAATTAATTTAGTTTCCTCTACGTCGTAAAAAAAGAAACGATTTTTAAATTCTCTCTAACCACGCAATCAACAACGACGTCAAATAAATTTCAATCTCCATGTTAAATTGAAGATGTCGGAAGACTGTCTATAGCACATGCCGTGTGACATGTCAAATGTTGTCAAATGTCGTGTCAAATGTGGGGGTTTTCTACATCGGGGTGCATAAACAACAGATAAACTCACTTGGGGCGAGGGGCGTCGGGTAGGTCGCATGGTAGACGACACGCTGTGGATTCGAATGATTGTAGCCCGCCATCTCCGCGATGCTGGCGCGTGCTCGCGCTGCTTGGATCTTACCGATCGTCTTGGCCGATCGTCATCGTCCTTGAACGTACGCGAGACGAGAGCGTGGCTGGGCCCTGGCGGGCATCCCTGGACGGACCCTTTCTCGCGATGGGTCCGCGTTCTTGGGAGACGATCGCGTATCTGATATGACTGCTGTCTGTTGATGATCGCGCTGCTTCGATCGGGACAAACTGAGGGGATGGTCCTTTTTTTGTCAGGATAGTTTGCCAGCCGCGGGGTCTAGGACGCAGGGACGGCACTCGGATTGACGTTGTCCTCGACGTTGCAAAGGTTGCGCTCCCGGATGACGACGACTCCCTCTGGAACGGTAGGACATATCCCCCAAAGGAGCTTGCACGCGGGCTGGATTATGTTATTCGAGACCGGATATCGATCGGCGGTGTCACAAACGTGTCACTCTTCTGTTCCGCTTTATTCCGTCTCTTCTGGATCTCTCCTCTGAATGGAAGATCTCGAACGGTCGGAATCGAAGTTCTTACAATTTCGTATCGCGAAGGACACACGTGGAAGTGCACGCGGAAACACGAACAGAATCGATCCTCCGCTCCCCTTTCGCACTCTCCCTGGTTCACCCAAGTCTCTCTCTCTCTCTCTCTCTCTCTCTCTCTCTCTCTCTCTCTCTCTCTCTCTCTCTCGCGCGCGCTCTCTCGCTCTAGCTTTCGCTCTTTCTCTTTCACGCTTTTTTGTTAGATTCTTCTTCTAGTATAAAAAATTGGAGCTCCACTGTATCTCTACGTGACGCTCGGAGGCAACCCTTTTTCGTGAACGTTCCTTCCTCCCGTCCCTCGTTGATTGCTGTTCGCGATCCTTCCTTCTTGTTCTTGTGAACGTTCCTCGATGTGGACGCGTTCCCAGTCACAAATTACACACTATTCTTTCTTTCTAAGCTCTTTCTTCTTCTCTCTTCTGAAATCTCAGATCCCTGATCTTTGCTCTCTCTCTCTCTCTCTCTCTCTCTCTTTTTCTCTCTCTCTATCTTTTTGTTGTGCGCTCCGGAGCTCTTTTTAGTCTTCTTATATCCTAAGTTACAACACTGAACCCGTCCCTATCGGAGGGACAAAATAATGTAAGGGTCACACAGTACAGAGAGAACTTAAAATGCGATTATCCCGTCCCGTAGCAGTCGACGCGTGCTCTCTTTTACGATCCCTCTCTTTTCCCTCTCTGAGCGTTTATACTCTCGTCTCGTTCTCTTCACTTCCGCCGCGCCGCGCACCAGTCTGACTGAGGAATAACTTCAGAAAATAGACAATTTTTCTATCATTCGACTCTTTTGTAACTTGTTTCTTCTTTACTGTGTATTACTTGTGTGTACGCGCTTTTATTACACATCTACTTTGAAAAAAAAACCTGAATTACCTCGTCGTACGTCCCGTTTTCTCTTTCCTTCTCCTATTCTCACCCGCTTTCTCTTTCACTCTCCTCCTCTCTATCTTTTTCTCTATCCGACCGCGCGCGCTTTTTTCCCACTTCCTGTCTTCCTTCCTTGCCTTCTTTCTTTTTACAGGCGGTTGTCTTACGGGTGTATGGTAAGATTTAAAGAGAATCCTTAGGAGAAATGTGT